ATTTACATTAATCTAGCTAAGAGTTGGTCTGTTTTAATATTAGTCGCAGCTAAAGGCACAAGAGCTTCATATTACTCTAGTGAGCTTACTTTTTCCTTCCTTCTCATCCTCATCCTCCTGCTCCTCATCTTCCCCCTCCTCTCCTTCTCCCTCTTCCCCATCTTTCTCCTCCTCTTCCCCCTCCCCGCTTCTCCTTCTCCTACTCTTCCTCCATCTTCTTCTTCCCCTCCCCCCTCCTCCTCCTGCTTCTGCTTCCCTTTGTTCTGGTCCTTAGATGGAATCTTTATCTTGTAACTCTTCTGGCTGTGATTCACTGTTATTACTGGATGCTTATTAGTGTGTTGATAGGGTGAGTGGGTAGGGTGAGGAGGGAAGGGATGTTCCTTTACACCTAAGCTTCTAAGTATGTCTCAGTCCTTTGTGGGCTTGTACTTTGGGGGTGGGGTTAGACCTTAAGAAGATTTAGTCTCTCTCCTACTGTTTCCAATCTGTTTTCTTGAAGTCCCTCTTCCAATTGACTGTCACTTACTTTACTTATTTACTTATTTATTCACACATGGGAAAGGAAGGTTGGAGAGGACTGGAGTGGGGTGGAGTTCTTTTCCTTCAGCTTGGAAAAGTTTCAGAATCGCCCTCTGGAGAAGTCCTTCCCATGTGAGGTAGACCTATTAGGGAGAATGGTCTGGAGGGTTTCATAGTAGCTATTTTTCCTCTCCCTCTGCCAGGCCTATGAGAAGATCTTTCTCTGTCCTCACCCTGAAAAGGTTCCTAGAGGAAAAGGCTATGAAAGCATAGCCCCTTTTTACTGTCCAGCCTTCCAGCTTCTTGCTCACTTGCAACAATTTGTCAAAATTACTTTTTATCTCTTCCTAACAGTTTTTGTCATTTCGTAGCTTCTGCTCCAGGTCTTGGTTGCTATATTTCTCTGGATGCACCTGTTTCTCCATATTTCAAGGAAGTTGTTTGCTCTGTTCTCTGACGGGTCATGAATAGTCATTGACTTTCAGTTTGTCCAGCTTTTTCTTGTTGTAAGGATGGGGATGGCAGTTTTCAACGTCTTACATGTAATAACAAAAAACCACCTTTCCCTTCCTAAATATGGGTGTGTGTGATATGTGTGTATCACCATGGAGCCCAGAGCATTAACATCAAGGCCTCAGGACAGCTGGGCAGGGGGTGAGTACAGGAAACAGGATGTATTGTTCACTTTTTAAATGTATCTTTTCATTGTTAAGTTTCATTTTTATAGTTTTTAAGAGGACTTTAATAAAGAAGACTTAGGAGAATAAAGAAGTGACCAAAGCATTGTTTTTTAACAGCAAAAATCAAAATAACTTGAATAGCCATCAACAGGAGAATATCTAAATTAATTGTTACCTATAGGAGATTGCTGTGGAATTGTTCAAGAGAATGGAGAAACTGCCTGCTGCTGGCACCTGCTAAGAAGATGTCTGTGATGCACTGTGCAGTAAAAAAGATTAACATTCATGTGTGTTTATTTCATGGGCATAAAAAGGGTCTGAGGACATACCCAGTGTTCAAGAAGCTCCAGGAAGTGGAGGCTCAGCACTTTGCTTTGTTTGGATTGTTTGTAGTAAATAGGAATAAATTTTGTAATCAAAACAACAGAAGGATAAAAGAAGGAAAGAGACTTACTTTTTATTGTCTTCTCTTCTGTGTCTTTTGAGTTCTGTATCCTGCTTATTTATCCTCATTCCGTAAAAAGTAAAATAAAATAAGAAACCAGGAAAGGTAAGAAGTATCCCCTGATGTAGTTCACAGGCTCTTCCTTAGCATGTGCTGGTCTTTACCTGTTTTCATCACCTCCCCCCTGTTCTCTGCCTTGCCCCCTGGTGTACTCCAGGTTACTCTGCTGTAGGTCCAGGCCACCACCACATTTAGGGCAGGCTTGGAGGCTGCCTGGCCTCCTCCCAGCACCTCCCATTTCCCCATGCAACCCTGGAAGACTGGATGTTTGAAAGGCATAGTTCACAGGCCGCAGGGTGAACCCCAGCTCTCTACTTGCCACTGTATGACCCTAGGTGAGTCAGACTCTGTGGAATATTTATGGGCTGCAACAATTAGACGTACTTCTCAGGATTTTACTTTATATGGGAGAAACAAGCTCCTATAACCTCTATAGCCATGTGAATGAGAGAGTAAAAAATGACCGGAATTCTGAAAATGCCTCATAGGCCTCTGCTACTCCCAACACTGGGCTAGGCACTCAACCCAGGAGCTGGCCCTGCAGTTCGATCCTATGCTCTCCATGGATCACCTGTAGAACATCCTTGAGGCCTGCAGAACCCTGACAGACGGGCATTGCCTGGACCCCTCTTGCAGAGGAGGGCAGCCTAAGGGGTGGGATGTGGAGAGAGATGGTCTTTGGCTTCCTCAGACCCTCTGGACACAAGAGAAAGGGAAGTGCCTCATCCATTCTCCCAGCAAGGTGCCTAACAGGCCACTGCTGGGACTTTCCCCAACATTGCTGAGAATGAGAATTTATAGGGTGTCAGGATTGCTTAAGATGCTTCCCAGAGTGAGAGCCACTGGGTTGGGCGTTTCTCTCAGGAGGCAGGACCTGTTCCTTGTCTGTCCTGCCCTGCTGTGTGTCACTGTAGACTACCCTCACCATAACCTCTGGGTCCTGGGTCTACTTTTGTCCTGTCATCCTGACCCTAGCCCCCTCCTGACTGTGCCTGAACCTCCTCAGTCCCTGCCTCTCCCAGCGCTCTTGGAGCTGGCTGGATTTGCCTCCATCACCACCAGTCACCACATCACATCAAGGAAATGTTCCATCAGAGCTTCTGCCAAGGTAAAACCTTAACTCTGCTACTCTCCAGACACAAGACTCACATTTAATTAAAAAATCAGAAAGCCACAAGCAACCTTTTGATATTTCATTATTTGAACAAGTAAATATGCACTGAGCACTTGCTCTGCTCAGGTGCAGTACAAAGTGATAAGGGCCATGACTGAATGAGATACTCAGCCTGCTTACAGGGGGACATGTGGCTGGCACCCAGATGGTGCTCAGACATCTATGCCCTGAAAGAAGGGAGGAGTGGAGGCTTTGAAAGAGGTGTTTGCTGCAGGAGCTCAGCAAGAGAAATTCTAGAACCTCGTGAAGAGCTGGGCCTTAGGAGTCAAAGTGTGGGATTCAAACCCCATCAACCCCACACACTAGCTGTGTGCATCCATGGGCAAGTCACATCAGCACTCTGTGCCTTGGTCTCCATATCTGAAAAATGATGACAACAATTATATCCAGGTTGATGCAGGGATGAGATAAACTATTCCACATGTAACCTGTTCCCAGCACAGTTCAATAACACTAATCATTTGTGGAGGTCCTGAGAGGAAGCATCATGTGTGATTTCCCAGGAAGACTGGCCCTGTCTTTCCTCAGTGTCCAAGGTCTGGATAGGCCTGGTCAGCGGCCTATAGGAGCACACAGTAGGCTACAGTAAGCAGTTGTTAATGAGGGCGGAGCATTTTCTATCCTGAAATGAAGCCTCAGACAATCAGGAGAGGCCCCAGCCTGTGATCAGCTAACAGACTGCATCCCTATGGTTGGCATTTCTCCCCTATCCCCACTTAACCTATCCCTTTCTGATGACCTTTCCTCTAGAAACAGGTTCGTATCTGTGGTGGCCATCCTTTACATCTCACTGCAGCATGTCAGGTGAGGTAGGATCTTATCACAGAGAACCTTGATGTGTGGTCTGTTGCTGTACCCAATATCCTGACACCTGCCCTTCCTGAAGATGTGGGCCACCTTTCACTCCAAGATTCTGGACAGTTGGTGTTGTGCATGTTGTTGTGGCTTTTGGGAAGATGAGAGAGTTGCAGCTTCATTCCAAGGTAAGTTTTCCTGAAGGGGGAGGCAAGGATGCTGACAGTGTGGAGGGATGAGAATGGCAGAGTTGCGAAGAATCAATCAACTTCTTCCCTAAGAATATTTTGCCATCCTTGGCTTCATTTAGAGAGTGAAAGTTTGGGGAAATTATCGGGCTGATTTGTAATTGAGAACTCACCAACACCCACAGGATCTTCAGAGTTTGGCTAGCCCTGGCAAGGTTGCACAGTAACACATGGTGTCTGCTGATTCAAGGCTCTTACTGAGATGAGACCTGTCCTGCTTCTTACTCCCATGAGAAGTCCTTCAGGGCCCCAGCACATTGTGGCTGCTTGTCCTGGAGGTAGAGATCAGGCTTGTGTGGGGCCAGTGGGCATTCCTGAGCTCATCCGTGGCCCCCTATCTTGCCTGTATCCCATTCTCTGCATCCCACCCGTAAGCCTTGGATCACACATTATTATTCTCAACCCCCTATGCAGACTTCATGGCTCCCTCTACCTCCGATTTATAGGATGTTCTGTTATCTCCCCATCAGTTTCAAGCCTGAGTTCCTCTCTATGACATGCTGTATAAGGAGAAGCCAGGTGTGGCCACTTCACAGCCAACTGGGTTTTGAGTCTTCATTTCTCTGTGGGGAAATCAGTGAGGCACACTTTGAGAGCAATGGCAGCTTTTCAGCTGTCCTTGGCCTTAGGCTACCCAGTATCTGGCCTGCTGAACTGGTGGGTTCAGGCATAGATGCCTCCATATTAAAATGCTCTGCTCCACTTGCTTGTGTCCTGCCACCTCCTACCCCCCAATAGTCCTTACATCAGGGACAAAGATGGAAAGTTGGGTCTTAAGTTCTCTTGAATGTGGCCACAAAGATGCAGTTCTTGGTGACTGGGGGTCCGTGCTACACGTGAGGCTCAAACATGGATGGCCTAGGGCCCCTACTTCCAGCTGGTTTCAGGGGAGGCCCTTATGGTCCAGGAAGTTTTCTGGGACACTTGCAGAAGGGGTTCACTCGTGCTGGTTTTTGGAAGTGAAGTCCAGGATTCCTGGCAATTTGCCCCAGGGTCTCAGCTGGGTAGCAGGGCCAAGAGGGGTTATAAGTCCAGCTGGCCCCTGTGTGCCCCTGCTCCACAGCCCTTGAGTTGAGCTACAGGGGCTGGTCCTCCACAGAGGCACGAGACTGGGCATCCATCCTGGTGTGCTCCACCCTGAGCTGGCTGAGGTCAAGAACATGGCCTGGGCACCTCTGGTCCTGTGAGCTGTGTAGTGGACTACCCAGGGAGGGCAGGCCACATGAAACTGCCACGCTAGGGAAGCTGTTAGGCTGTTTCTGCTGAATTTCAGGGCCCCTGGTTTGAGGTTGCCTGCAGAGCCCACTGCTCATGTCCTGCCTTAGGGGCTGTTTAGTAGGGGGTTGGCAGTCTGGTTGGATCTGCAGGGCTGCAACCTGGGCCGCACAGCCTGTCAGGGTGGGCTCTACATCGAGGGTGCTTTCCCCAGGACCAGGCCTCCAAGAACCTCGGAAATACTCCAGATTCTCAGGTGGTCTGGGCTCCTGGGAGCTAGGCCAAAGGTTTGAGACTTTGTTTTTGCTGCAAGTGTCTGTTGTTGCAGAGGTTGCAGATCCCACAGGGGAGAACAAGCCTTCATAGCAGCCTTGTGTCCCTCCTTCCCCAGAGACCTGCACACACTCCAGAGATGGGTCCCTGGACAGAGAGCTAGTTACCTGCTCAGGCCCTGCTAGGACCTTGCTCTCTCCAGCAAGTAGGCCCTTGGTAAGCGAATGTGCCCACAGCTCCCGCCTGCTGGGTACTGAGCCCACAATGGTCCTACCTGCATCTGAAGCCCCAGGCCCCCTGACCTCCAGCTTCACTGGACCTGGGCTCTTTTGCTCAGAGCCAGCTTCCAGTTTCTCTGTCTGACCCCTGGGTGAGGTTGCAGTATCTCCAGGGGCTGAGGCAGGCGGGGTGCGGAGCTCAGGGCTACGGCGAAGCCAATTGATAATGCCCATGGTGATGGCAAGCTCAGTGTCACAGAGCTTTAGCAGACACTCTTTGCCCTTCCAGGAGCTTTGCAAAAAGCTCTGGCTGAGCAGGTCTGGACCTGGTGTTGGGGCCAAGTTTTCCTCTGCCCCCACATGGAAGCTGCACATGGACAGTGGTGCTCCTAGTGCTGGCCCTGACAGACTCTCAGACACACACAGGTCATCATCCAGGCTTGGGCCAACAGGGCCCTCACTGGGGTCATAGAAGAGCTCATAGAGGGCATCTCCACTGTAGCTATCCCGGGGGAAGGCAGCTGCAGGTGTGCCTGGGCTCGAAGCCTCCTTCTTATCCTCCTCGAGGCCAGGTGAGAAGGAGTCATAGTAGCCTTCATCACTTGTGGACACAGATTCTGGCTGTTCACTCTTGGGGGTACCTGTGTCTATGGAGCTGGCTTTGGAGCCACTGTGGGGGTCCCTGCAAGGACACAGGGGGAGCTCAGCAAGCCCAGCTGTATCCAACCTGGGTCGGTCTGTATCTGTCCCCTGGGGACTCCCCAGCCATGGGCCCAGTAGGGTGCTATGCTGCTGTCTCACAGAGCGATTCACACTGTCCCAGAACTTGGCAAAGTCAGACATCTCATTTTGGGCGGGTGATGCCAGCTGTTCCATGCTGCCCTGGAAGGGGCCCCTAAGAACTTTGTTTTCAAGGGCCTGTGATACCTGAGTTGGGCTCTCCAGGCCCTCGTTCAGTTCCAGGGATGGCACGGAACTTTCATCTGCAAAGATCTCCCCACAGCCTGTAAGAGAGTCAAAGCTCTTGAGTGAGGCCACATCCTCACACAGGGCCCTACAGAGGTCAAAGGAAGAGTCGGGCAGGAGCTCGCTGTCAGATAGGTCTTGACATAGGCCATCTGGCCCCAGTCCTTCACCAAAGGGAAAGAAGCCTGTGTCTGTCTGCCCTCCAGCCTCTGATGGGCCTCCAGGCGAGGACAGGCTCTCCCTCTTGGTTACCAGTGAGGCCAAGTTCTCAGTCTTGTTTCTGCGAATGTGGAATAGGTTCCGAAAGCACTTCTTAGGTCGTTTCAGGGAGATCCTCTTCCTTGGTATGCTCTTGGCCACAGCTGGCACGAAGGGCATCTGGGGCACAAAGTGGCGGTAGTCAATCATGCGCTGGCTGCTAGAGGGTCCTGGGAAACTCGCGCTGCCCACCAGGTGCCCTGTGGTGGCACTCACCCTGCCAGCCCCAGGCACACTGTCATGAGTCTTGCTCTTTCGTACCAGTTTGAAGGTGGCCCCACAGAAGGCTGTAGCCCCCACCTCGGGTTCTGGTTTTGCTCCCTTGTTGGGGCATCTGTCATATCCTTGGGCGTTGGGACTAACCTGTGGGGCTCTCTCACTGTAGGGCCGCTGTTGCCCTCCTGGTGAGACTGACCAGGGACCTGCATCCTCCCTGACTGGAGCAGTGGCTGCTGGGTCTGGGGGTTTCTCATGGGAAATCTGCAGGCTGGATTTGATGAAGGTCTTTCCTCTCTTCAGCTCCATGCTGCCAGTGCCCCAGGCTGCTGTGAAGGAAAACAGGAGGCACTTAGTATCCAAGATGGAGGCCTATGGTTCTAGAAGACCTCTGCCTATCCCTGCTTACATAGTTGCTTTGGAGCTGAACTCTGACATCTAAACTTGGATCCTTTCAGAGGTAAGAGAGAGGGAGATGGGATGGCCCCACCCAGACTCACTGCCCCAGGGCTGCTCATTGCTCCATAGACAACTGATCCCAGAGAAGTTAAGTCACATGCCTAAAGTCACATAGAAGGAGCCTAAATGAGGACAGACTGGGGTCTGATTCTATTGTGTCTGTGATCTCTCAACTCAACCAAGCATCATCTCAGAGTTTACCTGGCCAAGTCAGATTCCCATTTCTATGCCCAGGCACTCTACAAATAGCACCCATCCTCACGGGGGAAGTATCATCGCTCTTTCAAGTGGTGGAGGAAAGGATTCAACAAATAAGTTCCTGCCTTCATCTAAGAGACAAAACTCAAAGGGAAACCCAAGCCTGTATCCTGGGCTGGATGGAGTAGCTCATCAGTTGGAAGGGGAGACACATACAATGCCCTTCACGGCTATTGCATCTGTCTGAGGAGGTAAGACTTGGTCTACACAGAGACCATCAGCAAGGCACAGCTGAGTATCTAATGGTGCATGTTGAGCTTGAGCACTGAGAAGAGAGACAGCATCATGGTAGAAGGCAAAAGAGAGGAGGCAGGCATGAGGCCAGGATCAGACAGATTAGATAGACACAACACATGATGGGTTGGAGAGCAGCCAGGTATCACTTTCTATGCACATCTTAACTGAGAGGCATTGATGCCTGGAATGCCATCCAGAGTGCCATCCAGATGAATGCCCAGTCTGAGTTCAATGGGAAAGGGTGTTGTGGTTGACTATTGATGTCTGTCCTGGTATGGGAGGGGGAAGCCACATAGGAGTGTTAACTTGACCATTTTTGCATTGCTAGGGAGTATGGCCTTACTCTGAGATCAATGAAGAGCTATAAAAGTCTTCTGAGTGAGTGGGTGGGTGTAAAAAGTGGCATAATGAATTTGGTGGTCTAAGACCATTTATCTGATATCTAAGTGGAGGACAGAATAAATTAGGAGAGAAGCTTTGAGCAGAGAAGATTCACAAAGGGCAACTAAAGTGGTCTGAGTATGTGGAGATAAGATCCAGATGGAAACTGCAAAGTCATGAAAAAGAGAGGTAAAGTTATAAGGACCTTTCAAAGGCAGAAATGCTAGGATTTGGCAACTGAATAAAGAGAGAGAAGTCATCAACAATGAGGAAACAGTAAATACTGATCCAGACAAAGAAAAGTGGGAAACAGTAAGGAAGTGGGAGTGGAGTGAAGGTGAGGAATGGGCTTGTGCTAAGAGCTGGTTTGAAAAAGGGAAGCAAGGCTCTAGTTTTAAACATGTGGCCTTTGGGGTGAGCTTGGAGACCCCCAAGACCAGACCAAAAGAAGGTGATGTCCAAGAGCACCTGCAAACTTCCCCAGACTCTCCCTTGCTGTGTCTTCACAGGTACCCAGCTCACAGCTCAGTCTGTGCCAGCAGCTGGGAGTGGTGAGTGACCTGTGGGTCAGTCCTGTCAGTCTGGTGAAGGAAAGACTAGAAGAGAGAGTTTGGGGATGGTTTCTTTGACTTTCTTTTTTTTTTCTTCTTAAAAAAACTTTGTTAAATGTTTATTTTGAGACAGAGAGAGAAAGAGAGAGCAGGAGAGGGGCAGAGAGAGAGGGAGACACAGAATCTGAGCAGATCCAGACTCTGAGTTGTCATCACATGGCATGTGACATGGTGTTGAACCCACCAACTGTGAGATCATGACCTGAGCCAAAGTCAGCAGCTTAACCAACTGAGCCCCCCAGGTGTCCCTCTTTGGCTTTTCATAAGGACTTCTCCATAGGGAGCATCTGAATTCACTCCCCACCCCCGCCCCTGGTGCACAGCCTGTGAGGGACGTACACCACAGGTGTGAAGGCAAGTGGCTCTGTCAGCCTGCTTGCCTTTCAGACCCACTTCCGAGGAAGATTTGCAGCTACCTTCAGAAAGCTGCTTGACAGTTATGAGCTGACCAGGGTCAGCTTCGGAGTCTCTCAAATGCTTAGACATGAAGACCTGGAGGTGAAGAGAGGGGCTGCCTCACAGCCCAGGTGACAACATTAAAGCTGAAAATGAGAAGTGGTGACAAAGCTGCCACTGCAGGGGCTCACAGGGACAAGCTGACTGGCCTCAACCCTACTCCCACTCATGGGCAGCACTTCCTCCCCTACAGGGGGACACTTGGGACTTTTGGCTGGAAGATAGGAGAAAGTGCTATGCCAGGGAAAACCACAGAACCTGGACTTGGCTCTGGCAGCAGCTCAGCTCTTGGTGACAGCATCCTGGACAGTGGGACAGTGCTTCAAGTTACCTTTCTGCCTCCTATGAGGTGTCATGCACCCAAGCCTTTCCTACCCTATACCTGCAAATCCCATTTTCACTCACCACAGTCCTCTGTGGCTGAGACAAGTCCTTCCTTAGCTCTGATGAATTTTCTTTACACAGCATAGTGGTTAATATTTGGACTCTGGAGTTGGAGAACCCAGATTTGAGTCGTGGTTGCATCTACCTAACCAGGTGAGTTCTTCATCTATAACCATATAAGAGACATAACTTCCATTTTACAAAGGAGAGAGAATAAGGTCGAAAAAAGTCAGTCAATTGGCCCAGGTCACACATGTGGTAAGTGACAGAACTAAGATTTGAAACCAAGCCTGTCTGATTCTGGTCATGTGCTCTTAACCACAACAGACATTCTGTGAACCAAAAACCCAAACTCTTCTTCATGGGAAACTTAAAAATCAAATACTAAATGTGCTCTTATGAAGAATTTTGAAAGCACAATGAAAATGGAGATTAAAAACCAAAGTGCAGCTTACACAAATTCAGAAAAATTATAATTGAAGGTCATATACTTTCTATGACAAGAAATCTTGGAGATATTTTATTATGAGATCTCTATTCTATGTTAGAGAAATATTTTTATTAACACACTTTTGGAAATAATTTCAAGTAAGCATGACAAAGATTACTTCACTGTGTGCAGAATTTGCAACTACAAGAACTAAGGTGGTTCATTTGATATCGATCTCTATCAATAAAACTGCTGATTTCTTATTTCTCAATTCAGTGAACTGATTTAAACTCATGGAGAACCAGAAATTTCACCACATTCTGAACTTGGAAAATAGCCTCTCAGAATAGCAGTCACTGCTAAAGATGGCTAGACTCAGTGTCACTGATGTTGCCAAACCTATTTCTTGAGTTCATTTAATACTTTGGCACATTGATGGGACAATAAGCAGTAATGTCCAGAATAATGAATGAGAAACTTGCAAAACACTGGAGCAATCATGTGAAATCCAGTGTATGTTCAATCTGGTCACATTCCACATTAAAATACTTTATCAGAGCCTGACTCTCTGGAAATGTGAGGCCCATATGTGACATGGGTGGGAACACCCTGAGGGGTCAGAGGCCTCACTGTCCAACTGGAGACAAGCTGAGCAGTCTCCTTCCATGACAGTTCTCAGGGACAGAATGGAATTTATCTGGAAAGCCAGATGCTGGCACTGTCATTGCCTAAGGGCAGAGGCCAAATATGTCCAGGTTCCCAGCTGCAAAAATGTACACTCTGCTCTGTAACTCTCTGGCTAAAGACCCCTTAAGTGGATCCCAGCATGAAACCTGAGAAATAATCCTCTACCACGTGCCACATCCCTCCCCAAAGGGCAAAGTAGGCCTGTCCCTTTCCTGGTTTGGTGCCTTCTTGTATATAACACTCAGGGATCACTGGCTGCTCATTCTGGTGCCTGCTTGGTCTTGCAACTCCCCAGTGAGGTTGAAAACTTCTTTAAGATTCAGGACTCCAATGGTGGTCAACTGTGAGCTACTACTTATTTAAATGAAGTATTTATGTTTTTGAGACATCTTAGCTATATATTTACATCTAAGTTTCCTAAATGGAACACTGAGTCTAGTTTTTAATTCCATAATTTATGTACATCATTCTTTAAGACAGTTCTCAGTGACACCAAGACCCTGGACCGAGTTCTTCATCTCTAAAATGAACTTGCAGGGGCGCCTGGGTGGCGCAGTCGGTTGGGCGTCCGACTTCAGCCAGGTCAAGCCAAGCGTGCGATCCGTGAGTTCGAGCCCACCTGTCGGGTCTGGGCTGATGGTTTAGAGCCTGAGCTCCTTGATTCTGGTGTCTCCCTCTCTCTCTGCCCTCTGCTCGTTCATGCTCTGTCTCTGTCCCAAAAATAAAATAAAAACGTTGAAAAAAATAATAAAAAAAAATAAAAAAAAAAAAATAAAATGAACTTGCAAATTCCACGAGAACAAGAACCATACCATGTACTTTATTTAATCAACTCTGATTCACGGATGTGCTATTTTAACCAAGATCTAAAAGACAGCTGAAGACAACCAGGCAAAAGACGTGGGAAGCATATTCCAGGCAGAGGGAACATCCTGCAGAAAGGCCTTGAGGAGCAAAGGAGGAAGAATGTTTAAAACTCTGAAAGCAGGCCCAGGTGGCCAGAGCAGCCGGATGAAGCTGGGAAATGGGCAGGGCAGACTGTACTCTGCCTGAGGTCACAGGGAGGGTCTTGGCTTTTATTCTATGCACCATGGAGAGCATATGCACCATGCTTTTATCCTATGCACCATGAGATCCAGCCATCAAGGGTGAGTAACATGGCTAATATTCAGTTTTTAGGGCTGCCTGGGTGGCTCAGTTGGTTAGGCATCCAACTTTGGCTCAGGTCATGATCTCTCAGTTTGTGGGCCCGAGCCCCGTTTTGGGCTCTGTGCTGACAGCTCAGAGCCTAGAGCCTGCTTCGGATTCTGTGTCTCCTCTCTCTGCCCCTCCCATGCTCATGCTCTGTCTCTTTCTGTCTCTCAGTAATAAATAAACATTAAAAAAATAAAAATTAAAAAAAGATT